AGTGGTTATGAGACCTGTTTTCACATCTTAAGTCCAGCTTCCAGAAACTGAGGGTGACCTTTTCCCCACATTTTAAAATGTAATAGGCTCTCTGATTTAAAAAAAAAAAAAAAACCTGGCAAGCTGTTAAAATTCATTTTAATATTCCCAGCATTTAGCCAGGAGAAGCTGTAGACAGTATTAAAAAACAGCCTGGGTTTTTCTGTTGTTTTTTTAAGTGCCCAGATTAGAACATAATTCATCTTAAAATGATGGGAGGCCTCTTCATACACTTCACACGTTGAAATATTTTAGAAAATAGTATCCATTTTGGCAAGGCTCTTGCCATGCAAGAAACAACAGCAAATGCTTTTCTCCTTGAGTGTTAAGTCTGTTGTGAAAAAGATTATAAAAAATGTACTTTGCTCTTTTATTTTGCCTCTTGTTTGAAGGTTTTACTGTATCTGTGCAATAATTAATTCTTCTCACATTCCTGTTTACACAGAATACATTGTATCCCTTTTTAGAAAGAGGAACTGAAGCAGAGGGTTGAAAAGCAACTTTCCCATAGTCCCAGAGAAAATCATTCATTCATTCATTCATTCACTTATTCACTCATTAAGCGTGTCTCGAGAACCTACTATGTTTCAGCCACTAGCTAGCCCTTGAGTGTACATAAATATCTCACAGGGCCAGCATTCAGATCTCCGGTAGAGGAGATACTCAGACAAATAGACAAGTGTCCAGTGGTAAGTTCTGCCATGGGTAAAAGGGCTACAAAGGATCACCTCTCACTCAGCCTGGGGCTGTCAGGAGGGCTTCCCACAAGTGGAATATGCTGGGACTCATTTGCCTATTTCACTCTGAAAACAACTTTATTTTGTACTGGGCATGGGGTTAGGATACCAAGATGAGCTAGATATAACCTCTACACACTGGTTCTAGTCTTGTATCTGTCATTCACTGTGTGATCTTAGTAAATTGCTTGCACTTTCTGGGCCTCAGCTTCCTTTGTTAAACAAACAGGACATGCAGCCTGGAGGTGCTTTAACGTCCTTTAAAATGGGCCCCAGAGCCTAAGATAATATCACTATTGTTTCAATAATTCTTTGGTCAAAAACTTCACACTCATGACCCAGAGTTTTTCCTATCACGAAGCTATAAGCATTGACAGAAGCCCATCCCCGGTAGATCCCACTGGCACAAAACAGAGTAGAACATCATGAAAAGTCTCAGTCAGTTACAAAGTCCTTTGCTTAGCGCAAGTCAGAAATGAAAAACAAAAGTCATTATGTCACTTTTCTCTTGAAAAGAAAAAAAACAAAACAAAACTGAGTATGTTTGTATCCAGCAAGACTTGGCAGATATGGCCCTATGGCACTGAGGATTCAAAACTCATCCTTCTAGCTCTCCAAAGGCAGACTGTGCAATAAATTTTGCTAGTTGTGTGGCCTCATCTCTGGCCAAGAGACTGGAGGAACTCTAGGTAGTGAATTTGCTGCCAGTGAGATGCTTGTGTTGTGTTGGTAGAAAACTCCAGAAGAGGCGCTGCAGTCAGAAAACCCTCCTGCTGAGAGTTTGGCCTCAAAAGATTCTCAGAGCTCTTTGAAGATCAGGCCAGTCTCCCAACCTTTTGTGAATCCCGCCACGAAGAACAAGTCTGAAGAATGTGAGCTGTGGATAGACAGGTTCAGGAAGCTGGAGAACGCCCTCTACCTGTGTGATCTGAGTAACACAGGTGAAGTATGAATTTTAAAGCTGTCATACCTTTCTGTTTGTGCTCTCGTCTAAAAGTGGACACCTCATTTTCTTTCATTTCTTAAACAAATCATACAATTTGTATATAAGCCATTGCCTGGCACTGTGCTGAGCACAATCAGGAAATTCAAAAATGAATCAGACACAAATCCCTCACCAGGTTGCTTACAATCTCTTCATGTCTCTGGTGTTTCCTCCACCCTGCTACCAAAGCCTAACCCACAATCCAGTCTGGTAATTCTGCTGATTAAAATACTTCAGGAGCTCCCTCCTGCTAACAGGATCAAGTCCAAACTCCTTAGCAAGGCAAAATCTGGTCCCTGTCCACCTGACCAGTCCCTTCTCCTACTATTGTTATTCTCTCAGCATATCCTGTTGTAACAAATAACTTGCCTTTCCTCAAACGTGCCTTGCTTTCTCTTGTGTCTATGTGTTTTCTAACCCTAAGCCTTCCATCTGAACTGCCTGTTTCTCCTCTACCTACCTCACCCCTTACCCCACCTGCTGCCAACTCCCTATCTCATCCACCTGGCTAATTGATGCCTAAACATCCTTTATGTTTGAATTCAGACACTACTCTGAGACTCTCCAGGCAGATCTAGGCCAACCTTCATCTGGCCTCTCAGGATTCTTTAACATCCATAATCATATTTTGTGTTTTTTATTTGGGGATTTATTACTATCTCACAAGTATACTATATTCCTTCTTTTTTTGTCCCTGGCACCTTACAGAATTCTATTCAACATTTTTTTGAGGGAATAAATAAGTGAACAAATGTGCATAAATAACTAAATCCAAGATAGAAGGAAATAAATGCATTAGAGTGTGCTATGCGGGCATTCAGAGAAAGGAGAACTGCTTTCTGGTGGGGTGATCAGGGAATGCTATATTAATATTAAGTTGATCATTAAACATAAAGTGCAGTTTGGACACAAAGGAATGAAACAGAGAGCCTCTTCTGGCAAAGGTGCAAGTTAACCAAGCAAAACACTAAGAGTGAAGCTCAGTGCAAGGAGTTCAGTTTGGATAGAATATAGGGGCTATTAAGAAAAATATTAAATGGTAAAGACGGAAATATACAATGGGGCCAGATATTGAAAGGTTTTAAATGCCAGACCAGGGAATTTGGTCTTAGTTCAAAGACAGTGAGTAGCACTGAGAGTTTCTAAGCAGAAGAATGATATGGCAGAGTTGTACCTCGGAAGGATCCTCAATGACTATGTGCAGAGTGAGGGAGAGTGTGAAGTAAGGCAAAGTGGGAAGGAAGCTGCTGCGATGACCAAGTGAGAGAGAATTAAGTCCAGAACTACGTCAGAGACCTGGAGAGTGGGGAAGAGGGAGCAGATACCAAAGCACAGGGATGACTATGTGCAGAGTGAGGGAGAGTGTGAAGTAAGGCAAAGTGGGAAGGAAGCTGCTGCGATGACCAAGTGAGAGAGAATTTAGTCCAGAACTACGTCAGAGACCTGGAGAGTGGGGAAGAGGGAGCAGATACCAAAGCACAGGGATTGAAACTGTCATACTTATTTACATAGTGTGGTTCATAAAGAGTTAGTGTACAGGTTAGTACTCTCTAGAAGTAACCACCTAACAATAGCAATGTCTGACTCTTCAGTCTCTCTGTGTGTCTTTGTTTTTCTTTTTGCTTTATTTTTGCTTTGTTCTATTTTGAATTTCCAAAGCAATTTAATTCTATACCACATGAAGTATAACTACCATACAATAACCACGGACTTTTAATAATTATAATGAAGAAGGGAAAAAAGCCCTAAAATCTTTACGTGAGAGACTCATCTAGCTGAATTATAAGGTTATTTATTAAAAATCTGTTACGAGCCTAGCACTGTGTTAGAGGCCGGACCAGGAGGAAAACTAGAAAGGCTGAGACATGATCTGGCCTCAAGGAGCTTATTTTAGGTCAGATTCAGAGACTGGCAACAGTCTAATACCAATAAAAAATAAAAACTAAATAAATAAGACAGTGTAGAGTAAAGTACTATAATCGAAGGCACAAATGAGAGTTAAAGGGTCAAAAGGAGTAAGAGAAGAGATGAGAGGAATCTTGTCATCCATCGTGAGAGGGGGCACTCAAGAGAGAGCTTGAGCTGACACTGGAGGTATCTAATACCAATAAAAAATAAAAAATAAATAAATAAGACAGTGTAGAGTAAAGTACTATAATCGAAGGCACAAATGAGAGTTAAAGGGTCAAAAGGAGTAAGAGAAGAGATGAGAAGAATCTTGTCATCCATCGTGAGAGGGGGCACTCAAGAGAGAGCTTGAGCTGACACTGGAGGTGATGGAGACTTTGGACCGGGACAGGGAATTTCGAGTTTGAAACTATCTTCCAAAATGGTGAGGAGCTGGGAATGAGTATGAGGGGGAAGAGAATGAGCAAGACAGGACCGGAGGTTCCCGCTGGATTGCATGGTAAGGTCGAGACCCTGCTGTGAATCCCGAGGGCTAGCATGAGGCTCCATCCTGTACCCAGTATCCACCAAAGGTCCAACCACAGGAGAACATAATGAAAGCAGAGATGGATTATTTAGGAATGATACTGGATAGAAGGGAGATGAAAGGTTTACTGAAGCCACCCCGAATCTAGGTGTTCACACCAGGACTGTGAGAGTTGCGATGGGATTATTACAAACACAAACAAACAGCAAAACAAAACAAAAAAGCATAAATAGAAAAGGCATTTCTAAAGAAACAAACGCTGAGCAGTGGCGATGGATGATGGATCATATGCTTAGTTGCTAAGAGACTCCCCAAAGGCTGGGACCTTTCTCATACTTCTGAACTGTTCTGAGGAAATAACCAAGTTGTGTTGACTTTGGAGGCAGATTTCGACAGATTTGAAATGCCTTTCTCATGGCCTCTTCACTATTTATGCCTGTTTTCTCTGTTTCTATGAAATTCATTCGTTCCTCAACAGCCAAGGAATGTGTCAGCCAGATCTGGGAACATCTACAACTGCCTTTAATAAGGAAAGAGGATTAACTGAGGTCAGTTGGTTGGTTTATTAACCACAGGATTTAGCAGGCCACCACGGATGGCCCCATCTTACAGGCTAAGCAGATGATACCTATTTTGCCCATGGATGAATCACTCTTCTTTATTATGTGCAGGGAAATATGTAGGCCAGGGTGTTCTTCATCCAGAATGCGGGCAGACCATCCATCATCCAATCAGTGTTTCTGGGAACCTAACTGTGCTTATTCTCTAATGGGGGTTATCAAGAAAACAGCTTTGAGGAGAAGGAATAAGGAATGACTATGAATAACTGGTCATGTTTCCTAAAAAAAAGAAAGAAGTGTGGTTGAGATCAATGTCTGTGTGAGTGGCAGATTTGGAATTTGCCCAGTGAGCTAAAGGCTAGATGAAAATATTTCAGCGTTCAAAGAGGCAGAATGCAAGAACAGCCTTAAAGGACATTCTCTGCATGGGCCTGGGCTTTACATACACTGAATCACTAAATCCTCACATCAACCACATGCAGAAGGGTTGAATCCTTAAATATATCCTCAATTACAGAGCAGAAGCCAAGCCCAGAGTGATCACGTAATAGCCAGTAGGAAATTGAGCTGTAATTCAAACCCAGTTCTTATTGACTTCCATCTACACCAGACTCCCATGACAGACTAGAAGGAGCATGAGGTTTTGTTTGTTTGGTTGGTTTTTATCAGGAGATTTAGATTCAAGTCCAGACTTCACCAATTACTGAGCCCTGAAAACCAGTTACTTAACGTTCTCTGAGTCTGTTTTCTTATCTACAAAATAGCACTAATAAAGTATACCTCCCAGATTTGAGAAAGGATCAAATAAGATAAGAGATTTTAAAGTTATTTGTATACTATAAAATAAAGGGGATGGTAAAGAGGTTATTATTATTATTTCTTTCATTTGATTCTGGCTGGAAAAGGACAGGCTTTCCAATACTAAGATGGAAATGAGGGTTATTTTATGCATCTTTTCTGGGCTGCCCTTACTGACAGAGTAAATTGAACAGATACAAATTTTAATAAGTGGACTTTTGTTTGACACTAGGAATTCTCTACCAATGGTAAAGCTTAGAAGACCGAAAATACTCCCCTAGTGGTGATGTATTTTTTAATGTTACTTTTAATTTTTAATTCAAATATGAACCACATGTTATGTATTTTAATAATTACTTGTTATTAAAATATATTTTAAGTATTTTAAATAATGCTGATAATATAATTATTATAATTATCTCATAGTAATTCCTGGCATTAGTGCATGCTTACTAGTACTGAACACTGTGCCAGGCACCTATTATTTTATTGATTTTCACACAGTTGAATTGTCCCTATTTTAAAGTTGAGGAAACTGAGGCCCAAAAAGTTAAAGTAACTTCCCCAAGATCTTACAATCAGAAACTTATTCCAAAGCCTATGACTTATATTTCTAGGATCAGCTATGGAGAAATGTCTAGAGGAAGCAAATCTTTGAATTCAGAGAAATTCAAAGATGCAGTTGGCCAATTTGAAGAATGAGACTTATATAGAGGAAAGGGCTGACATTCTAATAGGAGAGATAGACAATAGACAAACCAGAATAGAATAGACAATAAAGAATGGAATGGAATATATCACATTAAGATTCCATATGGCTGTAGTCCACTGTTAAAGAATATCCATTAGAGAGTAGCGTGGAGGGGACATCATGCTCAACAGTTCTAGCACATTTAAGTGCAAATAGCACTTGGTAGCTTTTATGAGATGACAGGTATCCACCACCATCCAACTCTAATGGACTAGGAGTGACTTTCTACAAAATAACCATGGCAGTACCTCTGGATTCTCTGAGAAAGAATTTCACAATCATTCTGAAGTCTGCACAGGGAAAGCAGAGAAGAGCCACATGCGAGGGATATATCTTTCTTCCCTGTAAAAGCTTTTCGTTGACACCTGTAGCAATTTTTTTTTTTTTTTTTGTCTTTTTTCGTGTCCGGCAATGGATCACAACCCTCGGTGTCGCGCCCGCACCTCGCTCAGCCAGTGAGCAGGAACCGGTCTGTATGTGGGATCCGAACCCTCGGCGGGAGCGCCACCGTGCTCCCAAGCGGCGCACTGTAGCAGTGCGCCACCGGGCCGGCCCAACACCTGTAGCAATTTTAAGTAACCCAGTTACTTAAAATTTTCTTCTATTCTAATAAAGCTTATTATTAATATCACATCTTCACAATTCAAGGAATGTATTTGGGAAACAATAGGACCTTACTTGAAGCAATCTCTTTCTCCTCGTTCCATAATGTAATATGGTGGTTAACCGTGAGAAACCTTGGGCGAGTGACTTACCATCTTTAGATTTCTCCCACATCTCTCAGTTTCTCCATCTGTGAAATGAGTTGTCATGAGGATTAAATGAATTAATATTGGTAAAATGCTTGGAGCAGTGCCTGAGATATAGTAAGTTTTATAAATATATATCAATCATTATTATTATTATTGTACTCTCATTAATTTTCTGCATAATTTATCTTGCCAATGGGTCAGGGAGTTTCCGGAGATAACAGATCACTTCTCTTAATCCTCTGTATTCCCAAGACCAGTATCTGACACAAATAAGCTCACAGTTAGGGGCTTATGAATAAGTTGTTGATCTTCAGTGATGCTTAAACTCCTCTCAGCAACTATCAAAATCTACCTAACCTTACTGCGGAAAGCGTATTGACATTGGTATTGACACACGTGTATAATGCATGGGAACCAGAGCATGTCCTATGGTGATAAGCATCACCATCTCTGTTACATAGGTTCAGACTCTGAGGACAAGAAATTAGATGATTTACCGGAAAGCGTATTGACATTGGTATTGACACACGTGTATAATGCATGGGAACCAGAGCATGTCCTATGGTGGTAAGCATCACCATCTCTGTTACATAGGTTCAGACTCTGAGGACAAGAAATTAGATGATTTA